TAGGGCAAACCCTCCCCGATTTTGATGGCCCAGACTAGTCCGATCGCATCAGATCTCGGAAGTTAAGCAGGGTCGACCCTGGTCAGTATTTGGATGGGTGACAACCAAGGAAGTTCAGGGGCGTGACTCAGAGGCAGGCAATGGCAAGCCACCTCTGAACGTCTCTTGCCTTGAAAACCCTATGGGGTTGCCATAAGTCAGTTGCGACTTGACAGCAAAAAAAAAAAAAAAAGCAGACATTGGCTCAGCAGATGTGGGTTTGGTTTCATGATGAACCAAGACTCAGTTGATTCTAAGACCTGTGATTCCAATAATGGGGGTGAATTGGTTAGCATTGGTGACGTCACCCTCTCCTCTTCATGAAGGATGAGGTTCTGAATCCAGCTTCTGACAGATGTACGTTTACACTACCATTTGTAAACTGAAATGAAATGAATACATGACGTTGCCTTATACTGAGTCAGATCTTTGGTCCGTCGAAGTCTACATTGTCTACTCAGACTGGCAGCAGCTCCCCAGGATCTCAGGCTAAGGTCTTTCACATCCTTTACTACCTGATCCCTTACTACCTTACTACCTGCAGATGACACCATATTGGGAGGAGCAGCGAACCCACCAGAAGAGAGATAGAGTTCAATGAGATCTGAACACACTGGAAAAGTGGGCGGATGTGAACAAGATGCAATTTAACAAGGATGAATGCCGAGTTCAACATCTGGGGAACAAAAATGAGGAACACGCATACTGGATGGGGGATACACTTCTGGGTAGCAGCATGTGTGAACAAGATCTTGGGTTATGGGTGGACCATTCTTCCCCAAACGTTGATAGTTTACTCATAGTTTAGATATCTTTCTGGCCCTAAGGTCTCTCAAAATGCTCTTCCATTTTTTTTCTCCTTCCAGGATTGGTGGTGCTGGGAAGTACCCTCAAGTCACAGCCAACCCCATGGGGTTTTCAAGGCAAGAGTTATTCAGAGATGGTTTGACATTTCCTACCTCTGTCTAGCAACCCCAGACTTCCTTGGTAGTCTCCCATCCAAAGACTAACCAGGGCCGACTCTGCTTAGCTTCCAAGATCTGATGAGATCAGGCTAGCCTGGGTCAACCAGGTCACAGCTTCCAGGGTCAGGCAAATGGATTCTCCTGCCCTAAGCAAGTACCTCACAGTGAATGGCTATGACATTACTCAGTGTGGCTATGTAATGATGTCATCCATGGCAAGTGAGGGCAATGGCAAGTGAGGGCAATGTAAACAGTATAGTGCTTATAACTCAGTTTTAGGGACTCGTTCCCATTGACTTACGTGTGAGTAAGAGCACTGATTAGGAGCGGAGGTGAGGCTTTTTGTTCATGGTTAAAAAGAGAAGAAAACAGGAAGCCGATTCTGGCCCAGTGTTCACCCACCCCCTTCCAGAATCTGAAGAGCTTTGACTCAGCTTTAGAAAAAGAAAAAAAAAACCCAATTAAGTTTGCCTTTAGGTATCCCCAGTGTCAGAGGTTGAAGGATGCTTTCTTCCCACTAAGCTTGAAAGGATCTCACCTCGACAATGTTTTGCTGTGTAAAAGATTCATCAAATGGTTTCCGAGAGAGACCCTTGGCTTGTTTGTTTTGGTAAGGGCTGTCTGACGGAGAGCAAATCTGACCAGCAAAGACACCTCAGGGCTTGTTTGAGCCTCTTATTTGATGGGAAAGTGTTTTCTGTGGATAAAACAGCACCACGTACAGTTGAGCAAACTCTCTTTCTTTGTGGCTGGACAACACACGGGGTCATAAATATTGCAAGGGACCCCCCCCCCAGAGGATGCCTAAAAGCAGCTCAAACAGCCACTAAACACCACAACAATCAGACTGGATCTGCCAAGTCAGGGAGAGCCTGTGTCTTCCGAAATGCTCCTGAGCTGCTCGACTCTTTCTCTCTCTCCCCCATCTGCTTTGTTTACCCTTCATTGCAGAAGGCACACAAATGGCTTTCATTCTTCCCTCGCAGGTATTGACTCTGGAGAACTTCAAGGTTGCAAGAAACTTCATCAAGCCAGTGTGGTGCTGTGGTTAGAGTGTTGGATGAAGATGGGGGAGGCCTAGTAGAAGCATCCATCAGTGGCTATTAGCCACAAGGTATAGATAGAGACTCTGGGGCAAGTGATGCTCTGTCTTCTTGGTGCTTGGAGGGGGGCAACAGTGGGAGGGCTTCTAATGTCCTGGCCCCACTGGTGGACCTCCTGATGGCACTGGTATTTCTGGCCACTGTGTGACACAGAGTGTTGGCCTGGATGGGCCTTTGGCCTGATCCAACATTGCCGTCTCTTATGTTCTTATGTTCTTATGAGCAAGAGTCCAATAGCACTTCAAAGGCTGACAAAATTTGTGGCAATCTAATCTGAAGAGGGGAGCAGTGGCTCACAAACGCTCCTACCCTGCCACAAATGTTGTTAGTCTTTAAGGTGCTCCTGGACTCTTGCTCTTTTCTACCGCTACAGACAGACTAACATGGCTACCCATCTTGCTCTTCCTCCATGAGAGGCCCAGGTTTGAATCACTGCTCTGCCATGGAAGTGCGTTGGGTGATTTGGGGCCAGTAATAATAATTAACAATAATCATATGGCATGGTGTGTAGTATAGCCAGGAGATCCGAAGATGGTCCGGCAGACAGAAGATCTAGCTCTTTTAGCGTTATGCACCACTAGGTGGCGAGCTAGACTTATTTTGGGGCTGAGAGAGCTCTTAAAGAGCACGACTGACCCAAAGTCACCCAGCTGGCTTCATGTGGAGGAGTGCAGAATTGAACCCGGTTCTCCAGATTAGAGTCCGTCTCTCTTAACCACTACACCACACCGGCATGCTGGGCCAGTCACTCTCTCTCTTGGCCATATGCTACCTCACACGGTTGTTGCTTGGAGGGTAAATTGGAAGAACGGATAATGATTTCATAACCTACATCGGGTCCCCATTAGGGAGGAAAAACAGGATAATCCATCCATCCATCCATCCATCCATCCATCCATCCATCCATCCATCCATCTGCATATTCATCCATCCATCCATCTGTCTGTCTGTATGTATGTCTGCTTCTCTGTCCATCTGACTGTCCATTGACTCCATCCATCAGTGGCAGCAAAACATCTCTTTCTTTAAGGTCACAAAAATAATTCCATATCGACGAGCCCAGGCCAAAAAAAAAATCCAAAGAAAAACAGCTTTTTACAGTGCTTGGGCCACTTTGACTGGCCGTTTTGGAAGGTGGGCTCAATTGCATTCTACCCCTCCCCTCCCCAACCCCCCTCTTCAGGGTCCACCCCTCAAATCTCTAGGTATTTCCCAACCCGTAATGGACATCCCTACTTGGGCCAGTTGCACACTCTTATCTACCTCTCGGGGTTACTGAGAAGTTAAAATGGAGGAGAGACGAACAATTTAAGTCATGTTGGGTCTTCATTGGGGATACACAGGGGTCATTTCCTGCAGGAGTGCACAGGAGCGGAGCTCCGGCAGTAAAGAGGCCAGGGGGCGGGCACATGCAACAAGCCCCACCCCCTGCTCCCAGCAGCCCTCAGTCGGAGCAAGAAGCAGCCAGGTAAGTTGCAGAGCCCCCCCGGCCCCCCAGCCCAAAACAGTCTAGTGGCACCTCTAAGGCCAAGTTTTATTCAGGTACAAGCTCTCCCTCCTCTGTGAGGACAGATCTGCACGTCCCCCCCCCCCAATAGCTAGCAATCCAAAACAGTCCAGTGGAGCCTGAGCGGTGGGTGTTGCCTTCTGACACACTTCCGGTGATGTAAGGGGCTGTTGCATATGCAAATAAGTTATGCTAATGAGTTATGCTAATGAGCTCCTGCACCTCTTTTTCTACAAAATGACCCCTGGGGATACACACACACACACACACACAAACCTGTGTGTATGCACACACATATATATATTGTTATAAGTATGACTGCCAGATCCAGGTTGGGATATACCTGGAGATTTTGAGGGTGGAGCCACAAAAGGGTGGGGTCTGGGGAGGGGAGGGATTTCCATGGGCTATAAAGCCCTAGAGTCCACCTTCCAAAGTGGCCATTTTCTCCAGGTGAACTTATCTCTGTTGCCTGGAGATCAGTTGTAATCCCAGGAGATCTCCAGCCCCCACCTGGAGGTTGGCAACCCTAACTAGAAGGTGGCTCTGTCTGTTTAACAGGAAGACGTCATCAAGAACATCCAGTGATTTTGTGAAAAACAGTCATAAAGCACAGCAAATGCATCGTGCCCAATAAGTCCCCAGTGCTGGAAGCCACTACCACTTTTCCTGGAGAATCCAGACCTCGGGCAACTAGACAGTCACATCACTTGGATGTCTCAGAACTCAGTTTTACGGAGCTTCTCTGACTTTCAAATCTGATTCACATTCACCACCGTCTCTCTCATCCTTACCCACACACATCGATGATGAGGAAGACAGAAGGCTGCCCGCTGGTGTGACGGGCACTGATCTTCAGCTACTGGGTTCAAAAGGAGCCGGTTGAGAAAGAGGGGGAAAAAGAGACACTTTGTCACATGCTGTCTGGAGTGCGACTGAGCAGCTTTGGTCGTAAGAAGCATCAAAAATGCCGTAGAAATGGAGGGGACGGCTGGAGATCTATGGAAGGAGGGTCATGAATGACAGAGGGGGAAAGCAGACCCAAGTTAGAATTTTGGGATCATAAATGAGACAGGGAAGAATTCAAATTCAGCTCTTTGCTTCAAAGGTGGCCCTACGCCAATGTACCTTTCCTCTTCCAGTTCATTGCATACAACTCAGGAGGGAATATGCCCCAAGGAGGAACTATTGTACATTCACTTGTATACACATGAACATACATGTACACACATTCTTCACTTGTACACACATAAACACATCAATATGCCTTATACTGAATCAGCCCACTGGTCCATCAAAGTCAGTAGCGTCTATTCAGACTGGCAGCGGCTTTCCAGGGTCTCAGGTAGAGGTCTTTCCAATCACCCCTTACCTGGTCCTTTTAATTGGAGATGCCAAGGATTGAACCTGGGACCCTCAGCATTCAAAGCAGAGGCTCTTCCACTGAGCCACAACTCCCACTGTTAAAATGTGATACTCCACCTACAGTCAAGTGTCATAGGCCACTGAGGAGCAAAAAACTGCCTTATACTGAGTCAGATCATTGGTCCATTGAGATCTACTCTTGTCTGCTCTGACTGGTAGCAGCTCTCAGGTGGAGGTCTTTCATTTCACTTACTGACTGGTCCTTTTAACTGGAAATGCCAAGGGCTGAACCTGGCATGAACTAGCTGATGAATTAAACTTTGTCACGAATTTTGGCCAGTTCGTGGTTTGTGAAGCAATGTTCACAAACTGAAGAACTGCCATGAATGTTCACGGATTTCGATTCAGTTCTGCAGTTTGTGAAGAGCAGATCACAGAGGTTTAAACCCCTGCTTTCTGCTCTTCACCAAAAACAGCTGTTTGGTTTAAGTGGCTGAAAGCTGTTTAAACCCCTGCTTTCTGCTCCCCACAAAAAGCAGTGGGGAGCAGAAAGCAGGGGTTTAAATTTTAAATGGCTCACAAACCAATATGAACTGGGTCAGTTCATGAACCAGCCTCCCTGTTTGTGTGAGTTCATGGTTTGGTTTGTGGTTCAGCCTGTGTGTCACACTATATCAGAATTAAAAGGTGCCTGCAGGCTCCCAAAGGTTGAGGATCCCTGTTTTAGGGTATATACTCATGCACATGAAAGTTGGCAAACATGTGCATTGTGTTGTTCACACCAAAAGGCAACCTCGCATATCAGGAGGATTGTAGGTAGTCTGCTCTCCCATTACGTGAAGCTGAGTGCCAAAATCATCACAAACACACAGGGCTCCTGCCAAAATGGAATCAAATCATCTATGGCTAAATCAAAGCTCATAACGAAGCATTGGTGGCTTTTAAGATTAGCATCTTCATTCACACAGGTTGGCCGAGCTGCAATGAGTTGAATGAAACACGGTCTGCATTAAAATCACTTTCCAGCACTGAGAGATGTTGAGGTGGCACCGGAAGATCATCTACCATCTGGATGAGTGAGTCAGACCTTTGTAACAACTGGTTGAGTGCCAGGGAGGCTCAGTCATTCCACATTTATATGTCATCGTCAAAGCCCCTGCCTCTGTCGTTTAAGTATATTGTGTGATGATTAACCCTGAGTTCTGCCCTACATGAGAGCTACAGAAGGCATAGGAGGGGGAAGAAAATGGCCGGGCTGGCTGCAAAAATGCCCAACTGGTGTCAGATACTCGGTGAACGAGCAACTCTGTGTACAGAAGCCAATGAAAAATATTTGCTGTAGCTCTTGTACACATTGGTGTACGTGTGTTCAATGCCGCCAAGTCATCCTATCGTCAACAGCCTTGCTTAGGTCTTGCAAACTAAGGGCCAGGGCTATTTTTGGGCAGGAACGCACTGGAACGGAGTTCCGGCTGGCTCTCAAGTTGGCCACGCCCAGCAGGAACTCATTAGCATAATAGGCCACAACCAACAGCAGAAACTCATTAGGATTGGCTACTTTAGGGGTGTGTGGCCTAACACGCAAAGGAGTTCCTGCTACAAGAAAAGGCCCTAGGTTTTGACAACAAACAAGGTAAACAGAATAACAAGCAAAGGGTGGGTGTGGCTGGATAACCACACTTCTGGTAACATGGGGGTGCGGCCTAATGTGCTAATGAGCTGTACGCTCAGGGGTGTGGCCCAATATGCTAATGAGTTCCTGCTGTTGGGTGTGGCCTATTATGCTAATGAGTTCCTGCTGGGCTTTTTCTACAAAAAGAGCCCTGCTAGTAAGGGCCATGGCTTCCTTTATCGGTGGGTTCCCAACATGGTGTGTGTGGGCACCCCGGTGCCCACGGACACCTTTCCTGGTGCCCACTAAGTGTTTTTAGAAATTGGAAGGGATTAGGTGGAGTGTTTGTCCGGTGGGCCTTCTGATTAGCTGTGCGGGTTAAAAGGCATCTGTTCAACAGAGCTTCTGCCTGAAATCATAGAATCATAGAGTTGGAAGGGACCTCCAGGGCCATCTAGTCCAACCCCCTGCACAAGGCAGGAGATTCACAAATACCCCCAGTGGCTGCTGTTGAAGAGTTACTATTACAGTTTTACATAACCTAACTCCTTGACATTTTGTGGTCGGCTCTGCCTCTTGCGGCAGCCATGTTGTAATTGGCTCCGCCTTTGGAGGAAGCCATGTTGTGATTGCGCCCATTGCCCTGTGTCAGAATTCCAAATGTGCCCACAGGTTCAAAAATGTTGGGGACGCCTGCTTTATTGGGGCAGTCCATCTCGTGTTGGGTCTTCCTCTTTTCCTTCTGCCTTAAAACATTTTTGGGCATTTTTTTTGTCTTTTCCAGTATCTCTTGTCTTATCAAGTCCACATTTAACCTTTTATAACTCAACAACTGGACAAAGGGGCCTCATACTGAGACACTTGCCAATTTGACCATTTCCCACAAGGTTAAGTTCACCTGTTGGGGACCCCAGACTGTGAACTCCCATCACCATCACCACAGCCCAGTGATGGCAATCCCTGGAGAAAATAGGAGCTCTGGAGGGTGGACTCTATGGCCTTGTACCCCATTGAGGTCCCCGTCCTCCCCAAGCTCCACCCTCCAAACTCCAGGAGTTTCCCAGGCTTGATCTGGAAACCCTACCTCCACCATCCCCAGCTGGTGGCCAATGAAGATCTGGCAAGGCTAGGATTCTAATACAGTCCAATTGGAAAGACAGGAGTCAGCCCATCCTTTCTCTGAAAGCCAGAGTCTCCCAAAACAAATGACCTGGGTACAATGAATAGGAAGAGGAATGCTCATATCCTTCCCCCATGCACTGCTGGAAGAATCAAAACCAACATGTGACAAAGGAAGCCTCGGAACTGCTCTCAATCCTTCTGGGAGGCAGGATGTTTCAAATTATTGCCACTTCAAAGGAAGCCAACACAACATCGTCCCTACAAGCAGAGTCCCCCGGGGAGATGGCAGATCGTTTCCTGGCTGTACAGTGCATTGCCCAAGAGACCGGAGCAAGGAAATGCACACCGGGAGAAGCACTATTGATTGGCCACCCTCCTCCTTGACGGAACAGACATAATGCAGCCGTGTCCTAGTGTTAGGGTTGCCAACCTCCAGGTGGGGCCTGGAGATCTCCCACTATTACGACTGGTCTCCAGATGAGCAACATCCGTTCCCCTGGAGAAAATGGCTGCTTTGGAGGTTGGGCTCTATGGCCTTGTGCCTTGCTGAGGTTCCTCCCCTCCCCTCCCCAAATCTCACCCTCCCCACCCCCAGAATCTCCAGGTATTTCCCAACCTGGAACTCGCAATCCTACTTAGAGTATCAATTCTACATGGGACTTTTCTTTTTTTTAAAGTACCAGGTGACTTTCTGCCAACATTTCACTTTTAGGGTGTAAGTGGACCCGGTTCTTTAAAGGGGTCCAACCACTGCTTGGCTGATCTGTCGTCATAGTTGACTATGGTTGCTAGCTTCCACAACAGCTAGAATGACTTATGCTCAATGTTGGAAACAAGACAAAACTCCGGAAATCGGGGATTGGATAAAGAAATTACTATTTATGGTTGAGATGGACAAAATGACAAGGAAACTTAAGAATCTTGAAGCAGAAGAGTTTTATGCAGACTGGAAAGACTTTAAAGATTACTTAGAGAAATATTGGGATGTAAAGGACAATTTAATTTGCTTTGACAGTTATTGAAAAGCAAGTGTTACTAAAGGAAAATTAGTTAAAAGAGAAGAATAAGTGAAAGAAGTGTTACTGGTATACTATGATGAAGAGATAAAGGAAAAGCAGAAGTAATTTTAAGAATTGGGCTGGAGGTTGGAGCACTGTGGGAAGCCAAGGGGGGGGAGTAGGATAGAAATAAGGATGTATAATAACCAACATTACAACTTGTATTTGACTTAATAGTATATCCTAATAAAGTGTTTTTTAGGGGGGAAACTGACCTCCAGATGACAGAGGTCAGTTCCCCCTGGAGAAAATGGCTGCTTTGTTGTTGTTGTTGTTGTTTTGAATAACAATTTTATTTGGAAATAAAAATATTGAACATGAATAACAAACATATTTCCAAGTATAACAACAATATGTGGAGAATCTCCACTATGGTACAGTATAGTATGATTGAAAGGCTTGATTCAAAAATGTAACGTTGCAGACAGGAGTCGTTTCATAGAAAAAGAGCTAGGGGAACTCATTAGCATAACTCATTAGCATATGCCACACCCCCTGACATCACCGGAAGTGAGTCTTAAGGCCAGACACCCCACCCCCAATGGTTCTGGCCACCGCCGCTGACCTTGCAGCTCCACTGCCGAGCCTCATGAGGGGCCCGGCGGTGGACCTGCAAGGCCGGCGGGAGTGCAAGGAAGCCCCGCAAAGGCCCTCCCTGGCCCCAGGCAGGCAGGGGTGGGGAGAGGCAGGGAGGAAGCAACTTACCCTCCCTCTTCTCCTGCTTCCTCCTGGCTGAATGAGGGCCGGAAGCAAGGCAGCCGGAAGCAGGGGGCGGGGCTTCGTCATGTGCCCCGCCCCCTGTACCTCACCTGGGGGAACTGCGATCCCCCGCGATCCCCCCCGAAATGACCTCTGGTTGCAGAAATGAGTAACCAGAACATTATTTAGAATAACGTTAGAAGGTAAGAGATTAATGCATAAGTCAGTTGACTAGTCTACAGCTTGTTTAAAATAGTATCAGATCCATTGAAGGCAATTCTTCCAGGAAGGTAAAGAGAAAATGGCTGCTTTGGATGGCGGACTCTATGACACTGTGCCCTGCTGAGGTCCTTCCTCTCCCCCAACCCCCCCTCCACACGCCCCCCCTCAAATCTCCTGTTATTTCCTCATTCCTTGCTGGCAACCCTGCAGTTGTATCACACAGCCGAAAGAAATCAATTTGCTAAGCGTGGAGGGGCATAAAACGTATGTTAAACTATATTGACAAGACTCAATTTGCAATTGGCCAGACAGGCAGTACAGTATAACGGTTAGAGTTGTTGAGAGTCTGAGACAGTCAGGAGCAGATGCCTAGTCTGCCA